GGTGAGCGTGGTGCTGACAACACCAAGTGAAGGGTTAAGATCCCCTTACCAGTCATCTTTTTAAAAATAAATAAATAAATATAGTAATACACTCTAACCCATTGAATGAAATAAGAATTTATGCGTCCCTATTTACATAAATAACTGGGGGAGAAGAGGAAGCACTTCCTAGTAGTAGATGCCAGCCAGAAATACTATTTTGTAATAATCATAGTAATGGTTGGTTCAGACATGAATTATCAAAGAATGCTAAAACTAGTCAGTGAAAGTCTGATGAGGAACAGGATATTTACATAGCCTAAACATATTTCCCAACAAATGAATGATTAATTATAAAGGGAAAAATAGTAACTTTACAATGGTGAAACTGGGAGACACCACCTTCACAAAGTGATCAAAATTAACATCACCAGAAATAGGGCAAATCAATATCGTGTGCCTCTGATGCAGTGTCCTGAGAAGGACACATCACTCCTAAATCATTATTGCCAAAAATGCATAACCTGAGTCTAACCATGAAGAAACACCAGACAAACCCAAGTTGAGGGGCATTGTACAAACTAGCCTATGTTCTTCAAAAATGTCAAGGTCATGAAAGACAAAATAAGGCTGAAGAACCATTCTAGATTAAAGTAGATGTGGGCACTCAGTAATGAGTACTTGATTCAGAGGAGCTGGGAGAAGTGTGGGATCAAACTGGTATATCCATCTCCCCATAGTGGCTCTTGCACCCTGCAGGTAAGAGGGCAGAGGGACTGGAATCAACCCCATGTCTCAGATGAAGAAACTGAGGCTCAAGAGAGCACCTCGGCCACAATTGCAGAGCCAGGACTCGAACCCAAGTCTCCTTGGTCCAAACTGATTTTCCCCACGTTTTCCTGAGGCCTCTTTGCTTGCTTGTTCTCTATCTCTTTACCAGCTTCTTTTTCTCCACTTTTTCGTTTAGTGTAAGTGATGTTGGAGGTTCTGATCTTGTCACAATCTCCTGCATCTATGTTCATGGCTTCCACGGCCACCTCATGCTAATGATTCCCAAATTTTCCTCTCCTGCTCCCGTCTCTCTTCTGAGTTCCACGCTCATGCTTCCAAGTGTCCACTGGGTATCTGCACCTGGATACCCCAGTCATCTTAAGTCCAACAAGTCACAAACTGAACTTACCATCTTCTTGCTTCCCTCCCCCATATTCTTACTCCAACCTTCCTCCACTCGGTAAATAGCCTGTTTCTCAAGACAGAACCCTGAGTGTCACCCTGGACTGCAGCACATCCAGTCAGTCACTGAGTCTTGTCTCTGCTGCCTCCCATCTGTCCAGTTCTACCACTACAGTCACCCCCACTGGTCCATTCGCCCCCAATTCTCCTTGGATCATTGCAAAGGCCTCCTAAATGTCCTCCCTCTCCATTAGCCCATTTGCCACACGGAATTTAAAAGCCTTGGACAAAGCCCTACTATCTTAGCCCATACCTGTCAGGTAACTCACAAAGCCTGTGTGTTCTGATTCCTGGTCACCTCTCTGACCTCAGCCCTCACCACCATTGCCTTTTGAGGTAGACATTTCCTTTTCCACAGTCACATTAGGGCTTTTTCTTGCTTTGAAATAACAATACTGCCTTTTGCCACGTGGTGGAGCCAACGCAACGTCAAAGAGGTCTAGAGACACCATCTTACCCTCATCCAACTGGGAGAGTGCAATTGTCGAGTAGACTTTATAGGCGTATATTTGTTGCTCAGGAAATCTTAGTAATCTTTTTCTTTTAGTTATTATTTATACTTTTTTGTTTAATTTTTTCCTTTTAAAAAAAAAGACTAGGGCCGGCCCGTGGCTCACTCAGGAGAGTGCGGTGCTGATAACACCAAGGCCCCGG